TTAGATGCGTCCTCTCGTCTCCACTGAGGGGAAAATTCAACGTACCAACCTTTTGAGAAATTCTGGGCCGAGGTTTGTGTTTACCTCGCGGCGGTCCAGAGTGATGGATGGTGGTAGTTGTGGTGGCTGTGTGGGTGATGGTGCTGATGGATGGTGGTAGTTTTGGTGGCGGTCATGGTCGTAGTAATGTATGACTGTAGCTGTGGTGGTGATGGTGATAGAGGTCGTAGTCGTAGTAATGTATGACTGTAGCTGTGGTGGTGATGGTGATAGAGAGGGTCGTAGTCGTAGTAATGTATGACTGTAGTTGTGGTGGTGATGGAGAGGGTCATGGCCATGGTGATGAATGGTAGTAGTAGTTGTGATGGTGGAGGTTCGTGGCCGTGGTGATGGATGGTAGGTATGGTGGTGAAAGAGGGTCGTGATGGTGGTCGTACTAATAGATTGGTGGATGGTGATACGTATACAGTTATATTGGTGGTAACAGTTACAGATTGACAGATGGATAGTCTCACTCATGGTGGTGGTTCAGGTTGTAGTTGTGGTGGCCAGCTTATAACCCCACCCTGACCCCACCACCAAGAGGAAGCACTGTGTACCTATTGTTAGCAAGAGACGAATGACTTTTCCAAACTCCATTCAGCTTAACGTCACCCAAAATATGCCAGGGAGGACTCCGAGTGGATGACAAGATATTCTCAAAAACATGTCGTGTGTGTGTCGTGGTTAAACACAACATACAGATTAGGGGTCAATTTGTGTGTTAACTTAAAACATGAGACGATTGAGGAAAAACCCGTTCAAGGACTTTACACATGTAAGACGTGAGTGGGATGGGCCTCAAGCTTTGGGGATTAGGCTGTGCATGTGTAGTACATCAAAATGAGGCTACGGTGTCAAACATACAAGGACTCAACAACTGGGTCAGCACAACACACACTAAAACTTATGGAAGTCTAACTATAACTTTGACTACCTTAAGGTAAATGGTGACTGGGGTGATATTCTGTGACTCTCAAAATGCTGTGCAACTGGTGAACGGGACCCGCCAGCCTTAATGTGTAAAATGATATATGATATTAAAAGAATTATGGTTGAAGATATTTTACCCGTGTATCTTAAACTTGCTAATACACACACTGGTTAATCCTCGATACGACACTTCTGAGTATGACACTTAGTTTGTTATCTCCTCTTGTCGTGCGTGGCAGGGACCAGTGTCAAGGCCTGTCTCATGGCAGGGACCAGTGTCAAGGCCTGTCTCAACTACTTCGATTAGACAAAATTGTTCCTCATTCTACCCAATAGAGTTGTTAAACTAAAGAGATGACTCCTGGCCCAGCTGGTGAGAGAGGAGAGTGGACGGTGAGAGAAGGGAGAGAGGGTGGGGGAGAGGGGAAGGTTAGAGAGGAAGGTGAATGACGGGAGAGGGAAGGTGGGGGGAGAGGGAAGGTTAGGAGGAAGGTGAATGACGGGAGAGGGAAGATGAGAGAGAAGGGAGAGAGGAAGGTTAGAGGAAGGTGAAAGACGGGAGAGGAAGATGAGAGAAGGGAGAGAGGGAGGTGGGGGGAGAGGAAGGTTAGAGAGGAAGGTGAATGACGGAGGAGGGAAGATGAGAGAAGGGAGAGAGGGAGTTGGGGGAGGGGAAGGTTAGAGAGGAAGGTGAATGACGGGAGAGGGGAAGATGAGAGAAGGGAGAGAGGTGGGGGAGAGGGAAGGTTAGAAGGAAGGTGAATGACGGGAGGGGAAGATGAGAGAAGGGGAGAGGGAGTTGGGGGGAGAGGGGAAGGTTAGAGAGGAAGGTGAATGACGGGAGGGAAGGTGGGGGAGGGAAGGTTAGAGAGGAAGGTGAATGACGGGAGGGGAAGATGAGAGAAGGGAGAGGGAGGTGAAAGGGAGAGAGGGAAATGTGGGAAGGTGGGAGAAAGGAGAGAGGGATGTATAAGTAGAGAATAAGAGGTGAGGGAAAAGAAAGTGAGAGAAGGAAGGAAAAGGGAAGAAATAGGGGAGAGAGAAGAGGATGAAAGGGGATAGATAAGGGATTAGAAGAGATTGAAAGAGAAGGGAGAGGGGAGAGAGATAAGAGAGGAGAGGGGAAAGAGACAGAGAAGACAAAGCAAAGAAAGTGAACAAAAAGGAGGAGTGGGATGAGGAGGTAGTGATGATGATGATGATGATGATGATGATGATGATGATGTTGATGATGATGATGATAGAGATGATGCTAATGTTAGTGATGATGGTGATGAGGAAATAGAGAGAGAGAGAGAGAGAGAGAGAGAGAGAGAGAGCCTTAGTTGAGATAGAGGAAGATGAGGGGGAGGAGGAGGAGGAGAGAGAAGATGTTAGAAGAGTGAGAAAGAATAGAGGTGGAAGAGGGAGGAGTAGTGAAAAAGAAAGAGAGGAGGAGAAGGAAAAAAGAGGAGGAGAAGGAAGAATAGAGGGAGGAGGAGGGAGGGAGGAGTAGAAAGAGAAAGAGGGAAGTGGAAGAAGGAGGAAGAAAAAGGACGAATGGAGAGATCAGGGAGGAGGAGGAGAAGGAATAGTAGAGAGGAGGAGGAGAAGTAAGATTAGGGAGGAGGAGAAGGAAGATTAGAGAGAGGAGGAGTAGAGAGAGAGAAGGAGGGATGAGAGAGGGAGGAGGTATAAAAGCTAGTTCACCTTTAAGAAGAGTTTCAGTGGCCTCAACAGGGGTGGCATTAACCCGTGCTGTTTATCCCACTAACAACCATCACTACCACCATTCATAACCACCATCTATAACCACCACCATCATCTATCATCATTACAAACACCATCCTCCATTATATCCACCGCCAACTACCATCTTGCACCATAACTACCATTCACCATCGCAATCACCTCTCCACCACAGCATTACCATCATAACCTCCATCCTTCGACACAAGCACCATCAATCACCACAGCTACCATCTATTACCAGTTATAATTCACAACCACAACCACACTATCCACCTTACAATCACCGTCACCATTACCACCACCACTATCACTTACCACTACAACCACCATCTACCACTACAACCACTATCTACCACCTCAGACAACCTTACCACACAAACCATCACCGTGCTAACTACCATACACCACTACCGTAACAACCCCCCCCTCATTTCTATCCACACCGATGTCTCCTAATTAACACCCAACCATCCTTCAAATACCCTTCCCACACCTTCAATACCCACCATACCACATCACCCACAAGCCCTTCAATACCACATCTACACCACCACCGCCACCAACACTATCCTACCACTACCACACCAGTACCACAACACCAATACCACTACCATACCACTACCAATACTACATCACTATCACAAGTACCATACCACTACCACTACTACTACTACTACCACCACACCACTACCACTACACACCACTACACAACCACACCCACCACCACACCACCACTACCACACCACCACTACCACACCACCACCACACAACATCCTCAGCTTCACGTTTTTGAAGTTGACATGACTCTCCTCCCTACCATCACACTTCCTCCTCTTCCCACCCACACTTCCTTCCCCTCACACCAGCTCCCCCCTCCCCTCACCTCCAGCACCCCCCTCTCCCCCTCACCCAGCCCACCTCCCCTCATCTACCAACTCCTCTCCCCTCCATCTACCAACTCTCCCCCTCACTCACTGCCCCTCCCCCTCATCTACCAACTCCCCCTCTCCCTCACCTACTAACTCCTTCTCACCCCTCACCTCAACTCCCTCTGTTCCCTCCTACCAACTGCCCTCTCTCCTCCCCCACCTACCAACTCCCTCACCTAACTCCCCCTCCCCCACTTTCTCCACTCTTACTAAATCCCCTCTCTCCCCCGCCTACCAAATCCAGTCTCTCTCCCCACCCCAGCACACAGTAATCTCCCTCCTCGGGTGTTAATGTTCCAGGGTTTTTTCTCCTCCTCCCCTCAGAGTCATGTAATAGTTTATGCAATAACTTTTGGCTGCAGGTGAGGTTGTTGCCAAACTTTTATATTTTTTGAGGGTGATGGTGGGTGGGGAAGGAGGAAGGGTAGGGATGTGGTAGGGTGAGGGGGAGGTAGAGATTGGGAGGTGGGGGATATGGGTGGGAGGTTGGAGGTGGGGGATTTGGGGTGGGAGGTAGAAGGTGAGTGATGACATTAACCTACCTGAGTCTGACCTCTCCCTTGAAGTGCGTTGGGTTAATATTCCTCGTAAGAACTCGCCATAACTGAAGCTGAAACACAAAGCTCATGGGATAGCATCAGGAGTACCGTGACTCTCTAACTTAACTAGATGCGTTCACTTAACACCAACTAAGTGGAAATTCTTACGACGATTCTCTGATGTTGGGTGAACGTGTGTAGTTAAAGGTAGAGTCTTGGTAATTTTGATGTTCGTTACATCACCGTACGAACCTTAAAGAATCTGAGCCTTGGGTTGGAAAAGTCGATATTCACAACTGTGGGATAATTATCTCGCCACCGAAAGATAATCTTGAGGTAAACAGCAACAGGATTTAAGTTCATGATAATTGAAATTTCTTGTTGGCGGAACTTTGTTTTGGTAGTGTGCGTCGCGATGCTGAATAAAACTTTTTTAGCATATAATTACATCACTCTGGTTGGTGTGTGTTAGGGGTTTACAGCGTGTTACCTTAAGTTTGTGGATTTAGATCTATTAGAAGGCGGTGGGGAGTCATATACATACAGATTGACATAAATAACAAGCTGTCATGTTTAAGAGACTTCCCGAGATTTAATATTGGAACCCGTCATTGATCTCGCACTGTGACGTCACACACCACGCGGGCAGCGGGACTTGCCTCAAATCTTACGTCTCTCAATACTTCCTCGAGCATTAGTTCTTATCATTAGTCCAAAGGTACAGTACAACTACACTTTTACCCCAAACCACTATGAAAACTTTCTCTTCAGTTATAGATACATGTTGTTGACAAGTTAAGCCAAGTTGTGTAGGGAATTCAACACTTACCTTCATTTTAAGACGTTGAAGACGCAACACTCTTCCTGGAGATAACAGTTTGAGCCCAATAGTTTGCTGAGAACACAGATCGTTTATCAAGATTTTCCACGAACTTCTTCCGGAGAGTTAAAAACTAAATAAAAAGATTATCGTCTTTTTTATTTCACATTTGCCAATTTAGTATGACAGTAGCGATCAATCTGTCTTTGTCACTTTGCTGATTACTGACGGGAGGTGAAGAGAGCGAGAGAGGAGGGTGTTTGGGGAGACAGATTTAAGGAAGTCGCCGTGGTTGTGTATGTGTGAGTGTGTGTGTGTGTGTGTGTTGGGCCAGGCAGTGGTCCACACGCAGGAGGGAGGGAGTCAGCTCTCGTCCGCGCTGACAGGGCTTGTGTGTGGCGCTGCTGCTGTTGCTGCTGGGGGCACTGCCACTACTCTACTACCACCACCCTTACCCTTGCTTCGCTCACCTCGCTATCATCAACGCCTGCCTCCTCCTTCTGCTTATCTACCTCATCTGTTCATCAGTGGGGTTTCATCTATCATCATCCTCCGCCTGCCATTAACGTCGTCGTGTTATTTCCTCACCTCCTCCTCCTCAGCCTCTCTCCGTATACAGGTTGTTGCTGGTTAATAAATTCCTGACCTCTCGTGTTGCCTTGAGATGTGCCTTCGTGTCTGTGGTGATATTCTGGTGGGAGTTTATCATCACTTGTGCTTTCTCTTTACAGTGTCTAGCCTTATCCTTATCAAGAGCCGACCACCACCACCACTACAACTACCACTAACAACCACAACTGCCACCACCACCACCACTACAACTAACAACCACAACTGCCTACTAACAACCACAACTGCCACCACCACCACCACTACATCTAACAACCACAACTGCCACTACCACTAACAACCATAACTGCCACAACCACAACCACTAACAACAGCAACAACTGCCACTACCACCACCACTTCCACTAACAACAACTGCCACTACCACCATCACACTACCACTAACAACCACAACTGCCACAACAACTTCTACCACTAACAACCACAACTGCCACAACCACAACCACTAACAACAACAATAACCACCACCACCACCAACAACAACTCAGGTGCCACTAAGTTAGCTCAGGCTCTCAATTGGCCCAGCCATGTCAATATTGTTAGTATTCCTCTCTGTATCTGTATTTTCTGGCCAAATAAACTGTTTCAATATCAATATCAACCACAACTACCACCGCCACTAGTAACAACAACATCTACCACCACCACCACCAACAACACTATTGCTTGCACTAATATTACCACTGGAACAACTTGCACTAATACTACAACTACTACTTGTACTACTACTACTACTACTACTACTACTACTACTACTACTACTACTACTACTACTACTACTACTACTACTATATATTTTTTCAACACGGCATCCGACCTCCCCTTGTAGCCACACCTTCACAACCATTACTACTACTGCTACTACTGTAACACAAGCTTAAAGGAAACCACGAGCGCCAGCTATCCACAAGTGACCGAATAATATTTCCTTTAGTGTTCCTTCTAGACACACTAAACGTACATTGGAGGTGCCCGGGCTGGGTTAGTGTGGGGTGCACGGGCTGGATTAGTGTGGGGTGCACGGCTGGTTTAGTGTGGGGGTGCACGGGCCGGGTTGGTGTGGGGTGCACGGGCTGGGTTTAGTGTGGGGTGCACGGGCTGGTTTAGTGTGGGGTGCACGGGTTGGGTTAGTGTGGGGTGCACGGGCTGGGTTAGTGTGGGGTGCACGGCTGGGTTAGTGTGGGGGTGCACGGATGGTTTAGTGGGGGGTGCACGGGCTGGGTTAGTGTGGGGGTGCACGGGCTGGTTTAGTGTGGGGGTGCACGGACAGGTTTAGTGTGGGGGTGCACGGGCTGGTTTAGTGTGGGGTGCACGGGTGAGTTAGTGTGGGGTGCACGGCTGGTTTAGTGTGGGGATGCAGGCCGGGTTAGTGTGGGGGTGCACGGGCCGGGTTAGTGTGGGGGTGCACGGGCTGGTTTAGTGTGGGGGTGCACGGCTGGGTTAGTGTGGGGGGCACGGGCTGGTTTAGTGTGGGGGTGCACGGGCCAGGTTAGTGTGGGGGTGCACGGGCTGGGTTTAGTGTGGGGATGCACGGGCCGGGTTAGTGTGGGGGTGCACGGGCTGGTTTAGTGTGGGGTGCACGGGCTGGTTTAGTGTGGGGGTGCACGGGCTGGGTTAGTGTGGGGGTGCACGGGCTGGTTTAGTGTGGGGGGTGCAGACAGGTTTAGTAGGAATACACAGAACGGATGACTGATTTATATGTTTTATTCCCCAAATTTGTCCCATAACTGCCGGGCTATCATAATATTATATACAATTATGTTACAAAGCATAAACGTATTATGAATTATTCTATTGTAAAAAAAATAAAAAATAAACGATATGAGGCAACAATTTGAATACAAAAATAACACGGGTTTGAGTTACAAGTGTGTGTGTGTGTGTGTGTGTGTGTGTGTGTGTGTGTGTGTGTGTGTGTGTGTGTGTGTGATAGATCTGCTGATGGTCGTGTTAACATTTACGTGATCAGGAGAAAATTTATCCTCATTTTAAAACAGAGTAAATAATTGGGATACTAAATTTAACATTGTCAATCCTTATGTTTAGTATTTTAGTAGTCCATTTTAATAGGCCCATTTTAATAGGGTTATATTTTAATAGGCTCATTTTAATAGACCCATTGGAATACCCATCCCAGGGCCTCATGAATGCTTAAATTCATTACTATTGCCACTACCAGTACCATTACCAACACCAACACGTACTAATACTACTGTTATCACCACTACTACATCTACTGTTGCCACCACCACCACCATATATACTTACACAACCACTATCATAACTACCACTAATACCATCATCTACCACCACCGCAACCACCTCTACCACCATTACCATTACGACTACTATCTGTACAAAGTTGAGACACAACAGCGCTTCCTGCCACCCTGGCGGACAGTTCACTTCAGTATCACAATACCGACATATCCGCCTTCGGGATCAATTCTACAAAGCATTTATCTCCAACACACTGCCAAAGTGAGAGCTCTTGAACACATACACACTCTACAGACTGATGATAATATCACACAGACCATCTACACTGATGGATCTCTAAACACCGCCTGTGGGAGGGCTGGAAGTGCTATTGTTGTGACTCAACCTGACGGTAATATAATTGAGAAAGGAGTTAGAATTAACAACTGGGTATCCACTCTACAAACTTAATTAATTGTCATACTCACAGCTATTAAATTAATTGACCACTGACACTGACAGTCTCATCATCACTGACTAGTGACTAGTAGCGATGTTAGAAAGCAAACAGACAAACTAAAGCCTAATAAGTCACCAAGTCCTGATGAGATATTTGCCAGAGTATTAAAGGAATGTAAGGAAGAGCTTAGTATGCCCTTAGCAAAGTTGTTTAACATGTCCTTAAAAACAGGTGTAGTACCAGAATCCTGGAGGATAGCGAATGTAATACCGATTTTCAAGAAGAGGGATAGATGACTATCCTCAAACTACCGCCCAATCAGCCTAACATCAATAGTAGGCAAATTACTTGAATCAATCATTTCAAACTCTATTCGAAACCACCTGGAGAAGCACAAGTTGATCAATGATTCCCAACATGGCTTCACAAGCGGGCGTTCATGTCTAACTAATCTATTAACATTCTTTTCATCAGTTTTCGAATCGGTGGACGAGGGGCACAATTATGATGAGGTATATCTCGACTTTAGCAAAGCTTTCGACAGAGTCCCCCACGAAAGACTAATTAGAAAGGTAGAAGCGCATGGCATCAAGGGTAATATCCTCAAATGGATTAGGGCGTGGTTATGGAACAGGAAACAGCGAGTGAGCATAAACGGCACTAAATTTCATTGGAGCAACGTCACTAGTGGAGTTCTCCAAGGCTTAGTACTTGGACCATCATTATTTTTATATACATAAACGACATAGATATCGGCATAGACAGCAACATAAGTAAATTTGCTGATGACACTAAAATAGGACGTGTTATTAAATCTGACGAGGACTCGGCAAAACTACAGGAAGATCTAAGCAAATTCTTCGAATGGTCTGAAAAATGGCAGATGAAATTCAACGTGGAAATATGTAAAGTGCTCAGTATAGGAGATGTAAACAGGGAACCAGATACCAGATGAACAACGATGCCATAGAGAAATCCGACTGCGAGATAGATTTAGGAGTAATGATAAGTCGGAACCTTAAGCCAAGTAAACAATGTGTTTTTGCTCGTAGCAAGGCTAATAAAGTACTTGGGATCATACAAAGGAGTGTTAGTTACAAGACTAGCGAGGTCATCCTAAAACTGTATCTTGCGCTTGTGAGACCACACCTGGATTACGCAGTTCAGTTCTGGTCACCGTATTACAGAATGGATATAGAATCCTTGGAAAGAATTCAGAGGAGAATGACAAGACTAATCCCGGGCATTAGGAACCTTGAGTACAGAGACAGGTTAAAGCATCTTAATTTGCACTCGAGAGACGTAGAGCGAGGGCGACCTGATAGAGGTGTATAAATGGAAGTCAGGGCTAAATAAAGGGGACATTACAAAGGTACTCAAACTATCCAACCAGGAGCGAACTCGTAACAATGGTTTTAAATTAGACAAATTTAGATTTAGGCGCGAAATAGGTAAACACTGGTTTGGAAACAGAGTAGTGGATGAATGGAACAAGTTACCAAATATCATCATTAACTCGAATACGCTGAATAGCTTCAAACATAGGTTGGATGCTTATATGAGCAATAGGGGTTGGGTGTAAACGGGACTGCCCAGTATGGGCCAATAGGCCCGCTGCAGTTTCCTCCATTCTTATGTTCTTATGTTCTTATGACTCTCTATCCTCACTACTTGCCCTTGACACCCTCAACTCAAGTTGTCACGCGCTTGTCTCTGAAGTCAGACACAAATATGCGTACCATGTTGACCGGGGTGTCGATGTCTAACTGTTGTGGATCCCCTCTCACATAGGCCTCATAAAACATGACAGAGTTGATGCCCTCGCCAAACTCGCGTCTAACAAAGACACCGTTGAATACAATTTGGGTCTGTCAAAAAGAACCCTTAAAACTGTAATTAGGAAAGAACTTATTGATGAATTTGAC